TAGAGGGTGATTATCCTCCGTTAGATTGATCACATTCCAAACTTCGGAGGACCCCACCTTCGGTGTCTCGGTCACTGGTTTTTCGAATGACATTCCGTTTAGATACAAATGCGTAGGCTCACCGGTGGGGCTGGTATACTCGTACATAGCGATGTACCGTGTGAGCGAAGCACTAGATACATCGGGGGATGGGTATTCTAGTAATTTATGAGGCACCCTTGACTTGTCATTCACATGATGTGGTTCGACGATGAATTTCATGACTTTGCCATTGGCTTTGTTGACTGGGTCTCCAGTTGGGAAGGGATAAGGTGCATCATTGGCTAGAATAGCCGAATCAGACTTTGACTTTGAAAAGTCAACGATCACATCGGCTATCTCAGACGGGGCCATGAGGATCTCATCGATTATCACGGGCCGTTCGTGATATGCCGAGTCGGACCCCACATGGATGAAATCTAGACCGTTGGTGAAGAAGAATTTGAAGAACCTTGCATTGCTTGCATTGATGATACGAAAACGGTACTTTCTACGCTTCACGATCATGTGGGGCCATGCTTTTCCGTTTACTATGACAGCATCACCAAAGTATTCAGGCTGCCACTGTGGGTGAATTGAGGGATTGTTTCCTGTGGAATTCATATATATGGAACCATCTGTACGAAAGCTACGATCAAAAATGACCAATGGTCGTTCAAATTCATCGCCATGGGGTAAGCCAAGTGGTGCCTCGACATTGGGTTGGCGAATTATGTAGGCCCCACTCAAACCAGCTAAAATGTTGACTCTAGTCAGTCCCATGGCATGATCATGATACCACATTGTTCCCGGTTGTTGAAAGTTGTGATAATGGTACATTTTCTTGCTCCAAGTCCGCCCTCGTTCTTTGAATCCAACGGTGAACCATGATTCCGCGTGTCCATCACTCTCGGCCTCACCAATGGCACCATGGAGGTGCACCACCGTAGGAATACCCTTCTTGGTGGACGGTATTGCAGTTGGGATAGTCGGGTCCCAAGGTAGTATGTGCTTTGAAGGGAGATGATTTTGCCACGTCACATAAGTGTCAACACCATTGATGGCCTCAATCGTTGGACCAGGAATTGTTGCGGTGTTCTTGGATGTACCATAGGCAAATACCGGAGTTAAAGGGAGATCCCTATGAAATTTCTGCAAACAAAGAGCGAAAAAAAAAACAAAAAACTGTTAGACAATATTATATTACTTAGTTTATACAATATGTTTTTTTAATATTACATTGATGAGAAATGTAATAATTATTAAAAATAAATAAATAAATTTTGATTAACATGAGTACCATCACAATTTGCAGCGGGACCCGCTCTAGTATTAGAAGCGTAAAATTTTCTAGTCTGGGGAAGGTTGCAACTAGAACACTTATAATTATATTGTATTGCTAATTCAATATGTCGCATATAATTGTTCACATTGCATTCAGATTTCGTAATGTACAAAAGATAGTGAGTCGAGTGACAGCTAACCTATGACCAAGAAAATCTATGTACGACGTTAACCATATAATGATATAAACGTAAACATCATAAGGGATAAAAAAAATAATAATACAGAACAAAACTGTCAATTTACTTGAACTCTTCAACAGAGTGCAAGTCAATAATTTTTGATACATCACACTATTTAATTAGAAAATTTTGGGGTGTTACAATTATTGTATACGCAATCCCCCCCCCCCCCCCCCCCCCCCCCCCCCCCCCCCCCCCCCCCCCCCCCCCCCCCCCCCCCCCCCCCCCCCCCCCCCCCCCCCCCCCCCCCCCCCCCCCCCCCCCCCCCCCCCCCCCCCCCCCCCCCCCCCCCCCCCCCCCCCCCCCCCCCCCCCCCCCCCCCCCCCCCCCCCCCCCCCCCCCCCCCCCCCCCCCCCCCCCCCCCCCCCCCCCCCCCCCCCCCCCCCCCCCCCCCCCCCCCCCCCCCCCCCCCCCCCCCCCCCCCCCCCCCCCCCCCCCCCCCCCCCCCCCCCCCCCCCCCCCCCCCCCCCCCCCCCCCCCCCCCCCCCCCCCCCCCCCCCCCCCCCCCCCCCCCCCCCCCCCCCCCCCCCCCCCCCCCCCCCCCCCCCCCCCCCCCCCCCCCCCCCCCCCCCCCCCCCCCCCCCCCCCCCCCCCCCCCCCCCCCCCCCCCCCCCCCCCCCCCCCCCCCCCCCCCCCCCCCCCCCCCCCCCCCCCCCCCCCCCCCCCCCCCCCCCCCCCCCCCCCCCCCCCCCCCCCCCCCCCCCCCCCCCCCCCCCCCCCCCCCCCCCCCCCCCCCCCCCCCCCCCCCCCCCCCCCCCCCCCCCCCCCCCCCCCCCCCCCCCCCCCCCCCCCCCCCCCCCCCCCCCCCCCCCCCCCCCCCCCCCCCCCCCCCCCCCCCCCCCCCCCCCCCCCCCCCCCCCCCCCCCCCCCCCCCCCCCCCCCCCCCCCCCCCCCCCCCCCCCCCCCCCCCCCCCCCCCCCCCCCCCCCCCCCCCCCCCCCCCCCCCCCCCCCCCCCCCCCCCCCCCCCCCCCCCCCCCCCCCCCCCCCCCCCCCCCCCCCCCCCCCCCCCCCCCCCCCCCCCCCCCCCCCCCCCCCCCCCCCCCCCCCCCCCCCCCCCCCCCCCCCCCCCCCCCCCCCCCCCCCCCCCCCCCCCCCCCCCCCCCCCCCCCCCCCCCCCCCCCCCCCCCCCCCCCCCCCCCCCCCCCCCCCCCCCCCCCCCCCCCCCCCCCCCCCCCCCCCCCCCCCCCCCCCCCCCCCCCCCCCCCCCCCCCCCCCCCCCCCCCCCCCCCCCCCCCCCCCCCCCCCCCCCCCCCCCCCCCCCCCCCCCCCCCCCCCCCCCCCCCCCCCCCCCCCCCCCCCCCCCCCCCCCCCCCCCCCCCCCCCCCCCCCCCCCCCCCCCCCCCCCCCCCCCCCCCCCCCCCCCCCCCCCCCCCCCCCCCCCCCCCCCCCCCCCCCCCCCCCCCCCCCCCCCCCCCCCCCCCCCCCCCCCCCCCCCCCCCCCCCCCCCCCCCCCCCCCCCCCCCCCCCCCCCCCCCCCCCCCCCCCCCCCCCCCCCCCCCCCCCCCCCCCCCCCCCCCCCCCCCCCCCCCCCCCCCCCCCCCCCCCCCCCCCCCCCCCCCCCCCCCCCCCCCCCCCCCCCCCCCCCCCCCCCCCCCCCCCCCCCCCCCCCCCCCCCCCCCCCCCCCCCCCCCCCCCCCCCCCCCCCCCCCCCCCCCCCCCCCCCCCCCCCCCCCCCCCCCCCCCCCCCCCCCCCCCCCCCCCCCCCCCCCCCCCCCCCCCCCCCCCCCCCCCCCCCCCCCCCCCCCCCCCCCCCCCCCCCCCCCCCCCCCCCCCCCCCCCCCCCCCCCCCCCCCCCCCCCCCCCCCCCCCCCCCCCCCCCCCCCCCCCCCCCCCCCCCCCCCCCCCCCCCCCCCCCCCCCCCCCCCCCCCCCCCCCCCCCCCCCCCCCCCCCCCCCCCCCCCCCCCCCCCCCCCCCCCCCCCCCCCCCCCCCCCCCCCCCCCCCCCCCCCCCCCCCCCCCCCCCCCCCCCCCCCCCCCCCCCCCCCCCCCCCCCCCCCCCCCCCCCCCCCCCCCCCCCCCCCCCCCCCCCCCCCCCCCCCCCCCCCCCCCCCCCCCCCCCCCCCCCCCCCCCCCCCCCCCCCCCCCCCCCCCCCCCCCCCCCCCCCCCCCCCCCCCCCCCCCCCCCCCCCCCCCCCCCCCCCCCCCCCCCCCCCCCCCCCCCCCCCCCCCCCCCCCCCCCCCCCCCCCCCCCCCCCCCCCCCCCCCCCCCCCCCCCCCCCCCCCCCCCCCCCCCCCCCCCCCCCCCCCCCCCCCCCCCCCCCCCCCCCCCCCCCCCCCCCCCCCCCCCCCCCCCCCCCCCCCCCCCCCCCCCCCAGTATTAACTATAGTTACATAAATTTGTCATCGACCTCATCGGAGGTACAAGAGTTCGAGCATATGTGTGATCCGAGACAAGTAACTTTTAAGGATTTAAATAGAGGAACCTAAATCCTTAAGAGACAAATCTAAGGTAATATACCCAATAATGTTGAAAATGCAACATACTGCAACTGCTGTAGATGGATCGGAATTTCATTTGCAATGTCGTGATGAATGATAGGAAGAAACGGTGGCCAATTTTTCTCCTCAATAACAATTCCAGCTGCCAAACAAAAGGAAAAAAAATTAATTGCTCAATAAAAGACACCAGAAAATCAACCTACTTTTTTTTAATGTATAAAAACATAGAGAAAATAGAACTACCTCGTGCTGCAGCATCCTCCCTCCTTTTTATTTCATGTATTGAACAGTTAATATTATGTCTGTAGATGCAAGAAATTAAAAATGTAACATATAGCCACAGGCCGCACAGATGATGTCCAACACATATCAATGTCCAATACATAGTCAGGCCATCTGCAGCAAAGATAGTACCAAAAAATAACAAGAAAAACTATAAATCTCACATTAGTTTTAAAATAAATCATGGGAATGAAATATATAATGGAAAATATTAATATTCTATACTAAACGTTTTTTGCTTGGGATTACACAAGTCCACAAGTAGCTATATATTCTTCCCTGTCCAAATTTACATATAACTGCACTTCTAATAACACGTACATGCTCAACTAACACACATAATTGAGCAGCCAAATTGAATTGACATATAACACACGAAAAAAAATCAAATTGAAACACATCTTGCACTCAACTTACAATGACTAACCCATATTCAGAAGCCACCATAAAAGAGAACAATAAGCAAGTACCTGTTCTCTCCTCTTTAGTTCTGCCTCTTTAGCTTGGAGTTCCTTCTTCATTCTCAAATCCTATATTTAAAGAGAAGAATGGTAAGATGTTACCCTTATGCGTTCTGGAACACACAAATAGAAAAATTGCACTCATCAAACATCTTTAGAGCTTTGATCTACCTTGGAACTATCAAGAGGAATATCAACCGTTGCCCCACGATCATAATCAGCACGTTCAGGAGGAAGGGGTGAAAGCATAGAGTTTGGACGGGGAACACTTCCAGGATTCTGAAAATCCCGTAAAGAATGAAAATAAAATAAAAAAACAGGTAAGATAATAACATTATAGTCCGGGGAAAAAAAGTATAACTCCTACAAATAGAAATGCCTCAGAAGTCAAAACTGCATGAGAACTGTAACCGTCAAAGCAGGTGTTTTGCCCTTCACTTTTTTGGCACAAGGATCTATGTGTTGTATATAATAATTGTATTGATCAGAATGACTTTTACTTCCTGTTCCAGGATCCAGAACTCCATAGCCTAATTTTATATCTCATTTTGGAGATATAAAGCTTGAGCTGTTAGAGATCAGGCCCACTACAAATATCAAGCTCTAGTGCCCTAAATCCCAAAACTAAAGTTGTGATACCATGTAGACCACCACTTACACGTAGGGGATCACGCAGTGAGGTAATAGGTACAATAATGTATATTAATCTCATAAGTTTAAAGTTAAACCATGAATTGCTTCCCTGTGATTTGGTCAATGTACATATTACCTCCCTATGCTTTAGAATCCTACAAGCATCCTCTGTAGTGTTGGAACAAAGTGAAATTAGTGGTTTTTCCAACCTAAATAATGAACAGTGCATCACATTTGCCAAAAGGTCTGTTGATGTTGGGCAAAATATGTCCTCCAAAAGTTATTCTTAATGACCAAAATACATTGATTTCTACATATTGTTTCCTCCCTGTCCCTGCCCAGTAATCCCTCTTTCCCTCTCTACCAATTCAATCCTGCAACCACCATTGCCAAACTATTGGATTCGCCCAAATTAATTGATCATGTTGAGAAGCCAGGTCTTTTGTTCATATCAGTAGGACCGGTTTGATGCAATACTCTAAAGAGCCTATCACAAAGATGCCTATGGGGGCAGGACCTGATTTATAGAGAGCTTTATTCGGCATGCACAATCTACTCAAATATAGAGCTTGGAGAGATTGTGGCCAAGCGGCTATAATTGAGTCAGTCGGGGCATCATGGCCCTAGTGTGATGTTTTCAATGTGTACCCTTTAATAGCTTCACCAAGTTGAAGCTAGACATTGACTTAAACCAGCTGTCTCCACTGCTATGGCTTCGATAATAGGGTTCATCGACTGAAATTGCCATCACAAAGTCGATCACCAAAGCAACGAAACTCTTAGAGGGTAAGAACCGAGTGTACATCTAGATACCTGAGCCTCTCTCTCTCTCTCTCTCTCTCTCTCTCCCTCCTGTGTTTGTGCTAAACAATTAAAAAAAATCCCAAAAACATCTCCCCTAGTAGTTTGTAGCATATACATGTATAGGCATACAACAAACATTTCTCGAGAAAAAAATTACAGTCACCAAGAATGCAACATTACACTCTTACTCTATGCAACTTACATAAAATAAGTGTGCATGCTAGATGGAAACAGTTATACAGTTATATATGTCATAATTTATTAAGTTGTATTCAAAATAAAATATATTTATCTATAACAGTTATATACCATCAATATGTCAATTGTGAAAGGCTACAAGAACTTCAAGTTTTGAATTATTTTAATGCTTGAACCGTTGCCTCAAGAATGTGATAGCTATTGGTCCTTATTTTTCATAATATTAAATTAGAAGGCTTTTTCCCAAGCAAGGTGATAGTTGGACATATTCTCATTTGAATGTTTGAAATGGCAGCCATAGTGCGTGAATGTTTTAAGTCCGATAAAGCAACTACCACCAAACCGTTGCATGTGTAGCCGGTGTTTCGAATCGATGCGTTCATTGGAATTAAACCATTGCAACCTTTCTAGTGAGTATTTAATGGTCAATGCATTATCTACAGTAAAATAAATTTTTCCTTTGAGAATGGAGAGATAAGACAGAGGACTTTGTGAAATATTTCAGTTTCGATTATAAACATACTTTTTCTTTTACATTCTAATACTCTATTATTTTTGGTGACTTTTTTTTCCTCGATTTGGAAACGATCAAGAGCTGTTTGATATACTTCTGCATTTACAAGTGTACGCTTGTGGAAAAGTGATAGTTGAATCATGGAAGATAAGACGTCATAATCTACTGCACCGGGTTTTGTACTCAAAGGGGCAGAAATATATTCTTAAAGGCAGTGATAACATGCCTCTACTGATAAGTCTTCTTACCTTTGTTTATTTTATGTTTTCTTACCTTGTTTATTTTCTATTTTTACTTGAAATTTTCACAACAATATATTGTTTTGTGAGAATGAAAGAAAGATATAAATAGGATAGCAAAATAATCTTTTGCTTTTCCTTTGACGGAATTAGGATTTTCATTATAGTCTAAAAGTAGAAGGGGTTTATGTGGAAGTATTTAAAATTCATAGGCAAGTAATGCCTAATAGGGTAATACCTCTATCCTAAATATAACTAGGTACTCCACCACAACTCTAAGAGCAATGTTATTGGGGCCTAATTTACTGACCGAATTCACTATGACCTTTGAATTGACTGTGAGCTCCATTAAATATTGGAACTTGGTATTGATCTAATGGCTCTACTGAAACCATATCATTATGTCATCAAATTAAGTCAAATTTTTAGGTTTAAATAGTATTACTCCAACTCTAAAGTTAGGTCTTCTCTTCTTCTTTTTTTTCCCTTAATCCAAGATTAGCTTACAGAGGTATAAAGCCTACTAAAACTTCTCCAAATCCCATAGAGAACCCATTAGTAAACTACAAGACTATATGGAAAAGAAAAAGAAGAAAATGGTCTCCCCTAGGTGGCTCCCACGAGGTACCGACTTCAAACTCAAACAAAGATTGTTCTTATCCAATGCATGAGTAAAGAAAATGTTATATATATATAATGCAAGACCCGTTGATAAGCTAAGACTACGACATGAAGGCAGGCTTAAAAAAAATGTATCCATCAAACTATGCTATCTATTCCATTAAATTTTCTCTCGAACAAATAAAGCATGAAAAAAAATTTATTTTGCCCAAAAAGAGGTAGCTTGGAAAGATTGAGGGAGAGAATATGCTTACTGTCGCATAAAATGCACCTCCACCATAGTTCGGTTGAGCTGACCCTCTCCATCGTGCTCCTTGATCTTGACATCAAAAGCATACAACAATGCAAAAATGTATAAACAAAGGTGCAAAAAAGGCTAAGTAAGAACATATAGCCACTTGATCTTTCTCACGAGAAATCATTTAAGTAAAAAAGTACAGAACTTATGAATGTACTAAGTAATTATCCCTGCACATTTGCTAAAAGCAATTCACTATGTACTTTAAGCCTCTATCATAAAACCTGATCCTTCAAACTGGCAGCTGATACTATATATGTTGTCAAACCCAGTAAATTCAGTCCTATTACAAGTCCATTTTAAATCCCATACTTAAGAATTTAATCCACTGTGTTTCCAGGCAAAAAATCAATCCATAACATGTGCAGTGGACATCAAACACATTCACTGCATGCTTTTATCTACTTACGGTATGTATGAAATTTCCTATATAGTTTTTAGCCTCGCGCTGAAATTGTAACATAAGGATAAGTAACAACTGAGACACAGAAAGAGAGATCATTATCCAAAGGCAGAACTTGAAGCAACCAAAAAACTTCTTTTGACTTGTTTCGAAATCACTTGCAGAACTTCCCAGTTCCCATTTCACATAATCTTTTGTTGAGTAGCATCAAATATTTCCAACAAATTAAAAACATATTTAAATTTAAAACATGTGATATTGTTTCACTTGTAGTCTCCAAGAGCTGGCTTAATGATCCATTTTGCATAACTGACCTGAAGCCAAAACAACAGAAAGCAAAAGTTGGGGACTGTATTTTTGTTTTCTTTCCCGTTTTGACAGTGTGAGCACTTCACAATGCAAACAAACAATAGACTCTATATATAATATTAATCAATTAGTATAATGTTAGCCTGTTAAAGTTTAAATCACAGAGAACACTCAGAAACTTGGGAAACTAAGGAAAACAAGGAACCCCCATGCACGTAAACCAAACTAAGAACTTCAATATAAACCAATAATCAAATATAGAGGACAGATCTCAATATTCAGGCAACAAAATATGAAAAATCAACCAGAAAAAAAATCATTCCAACAATCACGTTGTTACAAAAATCCCATTCAACAAATCCGTAAACCAATAAAAATTACAAGCCCCAATAGCTAAACATTGCATTGGAGTTAAAAATCAAAACCCCAATAACTAAACATTGTATTGAATTTACGCATATAAATTATTCAGCTACTGAAAAAAAAGAATATGCATATATACAAACATCAATGTATATCAGGTATTACCGCAAATGGGTTCACTTCTTCTTCGCCGAAAGAATTTGAATCGTGATGGCCAGCCATGAAATACAATTATAAAGTCCCAATCTACGGAAACAACCTGAAAAAAAAGAGTTACATAAAAATAACATATCTGAGAATGGGGGCGAATGGATTTGAATGCAGATATTCAAAAGATTTGGGTTCTGATCTTTGTGGGTGTGGCAAGAACGGAATGCATGCTGAAAACGTACGGTTTTTTCTGTGAAACAGACGTTGCTTTTTCTGCTTGTTGGGTGAATTGCACTTCGTACCTTGAAAGATTTTAAATTTCTTACATTATACCCTTAAATATTAAATTTTTCATATTATACTGTTACTTTATTAAAAATATTATAATATGATTCTTTTGTTAGTTTTTTTTTTTTA